GTACTCAAGCTAGCTGAGCTTAGCATACGTGTCTGTAAAAACACCTCAAATTTCAAAGACTACAAATACTAGGGGGTTAGAAATATGACTAATGCAGCTGAATTAATAACGGTTTAGTGTCGTACAGACTGTCCTTAAAGTACGTTCACCCAACAACACAGCTTTGACCGAACAAAACAAGCTGATTTCGAGCCAGAATCACACCGCAGTTTTCATCAAGCAAGCTGCTGAATTCCCTGAAACATCGCACGCGACAACGACCCTTTGTTAAACACAAATTAATAAGCCGGTTGATGTCAAGATAACTGTTTTTCCCCACCAGCTTGTAAAATGATTCCCCTCCCCGGTAGATTCGGGTAAATGTTGTTGCCAGGTCAAATCAGCTGATCGGCTTGTTTTCACTGGAGCGGCTGTCGAAGGTTACCAGCCGCAAAGACCGATGGGAAACGGAGTCCATTCTCCACACAAGCCAAATTTACTTATAGGATGTGATAGGAGAGTTTGGCTGGTGAGTAGTCAACAGCTATATGATTTCAAAAACAAGAACATGTTTGGGAACCGAGGGGACGGACTACTAAACATACTTCAAATCTTAAAAGTATGTTTACAAAAAAAAAAAACTCTAGTCTGCTTGCAGATGAAATAAAGTTAATGAACACTTTTGTTTCTTAACACTTAAACTTAAAGTGCACTTTGCAATGTAAAAATAATTTAAAAGTACATTTTAAATTATTTTCATCTTTTGTTGTGCTTTAAAGAAGTACACTTAATATGTAGACTAACATATTAAAGCACATGTGAAGCACTTGATAAAAAAGTAACTGTTATTTATTTTTAGATTTAAAGTTTAGACTTTCATTTAATTGTAAATAGTGTACAAATTAGTTCACCCTTATATTCGTCAAAATATATTCTTTTAAAGAATGTTGTACTCTTTTAAAAAAGTAGCATAAAGTGTAAAGTCCCTTGTGTTAATTTTCACAGAGATTAAGCTGTTAAAAAGTCACCTTTATAACTTGTAAACATAAATCATTGTGTGGACCATATTCAGACAACATTTAATTTTTCACTAATGAAAGCAAGGATCTGAAGGACAGACATGCAGACCATTCTAAACGTTTTACTGTCTTACATGGTTGTGAAAATTTGACCGTATAGAACCTGTATATACAAAAATCCCATCAATTTTTTTTTTACACAATACATTAATTTGATTATTATATTTATTTTTTTAAACATGCATTTCAAATAAATGGCTGACATCCAGGTACACAACAGTAGCAACAACCCACTGAACTGACTGTCTGGGCCTCATTTTTATTCACGGAAAATGAAATAATAGGCCTGTCTACCCTGAAATGGTCAATTAGAGCGAATTCTTACATTTTCCACACCCCAGTCCAGTAGGGGGCGGAAAACTTCG